ATCAGTGATTCTAGAATTCACAGCTGCTCTCCTCCGTGAGAGTGAAGCTGCTGCTGCTCACAGGATGGACATTGTCCCTCAGTTCCTAATCATGCAGCATGTCCCACTGAGGGATGGTGGGATGGGGCACTCCAGTGCACTGAGCAAAGGAGAGAAAATTCTCTCTGAGGAGCACACACATGGATGCTCAGTCCATCCATCCATCCATCCATCCATCCATCCATCCATCCATCCATCCATCCATCCATCCATCCATCCATCCATCCATCATCCGCCTTGTGCAGGGACAGGACAGCATTTCGGCACAGTGGTGACCCCGACCTTCGGGGCAGTGATGACCCCGAGTGTGGCCTCAGGGTTGCACGGGGCTCCACCGCACGGTCGCTGCTACTTTTCAGGACGGTGGCTGCCCCTCCGCCCGTCCCGTCCCACCCCGTGTTATGTCCCGTCCCGTGTGTCGTGTCATGTCCCATGTCCCGTATACCGGGTCCCCTGCCCCGTCCCGTGTGGCGGCCGCGGCGCTGAGGCGGCTGAGGGCGATCCCCGCGCGGCGGGCGCCCCCTGCCGGCCGGCGCATGCAACACGGGGCCCTCACCCCGCGGCCGCAGCAAAGCCCCGAGTCCGCCGGGGAAATAAAATCTAACAGCGCCTTTTTAAACCCTCCGGGGTTGGTAAACCCTCTGACACCTTTTGGTGCCAGCGAGGAAGGTGTTGCTTTGTTCTTGCTCAAAAGGGGTGTGTGTCTGTGTGGCCGACAAAATTTCCCGGCCTCTACACAAGGTGCTGATACAAAACTTCTTCACCTGTTTGTATATTTTTAGCAAACAAAAACATCAATGTTCACTGATTCCAAATCACACAATTAGTTCTTTAATTGGCATTCTGCCCTCTCTTGGTTATGGATTTCTCACTGTTCCTGCTAATTAATATTCTTATTCTTTTTAGTATCTTTTTTCCTCCAGCGGGGATTTTCCTACACAAATATATTGAGTCTTTGTTATCTTCTTCTTTACCTTCTGGTTCTTAAAAACATCGTTGTAGTTCATAAATTCTTCACTTCTTGTATCCAATTTCAGCAATACATCCCTCTCTCCCAGGCCTTGCTCATTGAAGCATATCAAAGTTAGTTTAGCAAAAGTTTAAGTTTCTGTAATTTTCCCAAGCTGTATTCCCCCAATACCTGCTCATGCTAAATTTTGGCTAAAAGTGATTTAACACATTGCTTATAGTTAATACACATTGGTTATGATTAAACATAACCAATTAATTTAAATTAATTAAAGCCATTAATTAAAAATTAGAAAAGTTGTATAATTTCCAACAGAAGGACAAGGATTTGGTAGATGGCTGTAATCTCTTTAATCTCAAATTTTTATGCAGGTATTTGGAGCTGCCTGTGCTCGAGCAAGCTCCATATCTCTGCACGGCTCCCTTCTGCCTCCTGTGAGCAGTGATAATATCACTTCTCTGCCTCCCAAGACTGCTGTGAGTAAATGCTTTAGAAAATTATTTGGCTGGGCTGCTCTTTTCTCTAGTGCTCTAGTATGGTTTGCTCCTGTAGCTGGGACAGTTGTACAACTGCAGTATTTTACAAAACACCAGACAGAGGCAGGGGATTCTGCAGCCCTCAGGTGAGACCCCACCTGCAGAGCTGCCCCCAGCACAGCACAGGAAGGACCTGGAGCTGTTGGATGAGTCCAGAGATCACCACGATGATCAGAGGAATGGAGCAACCCTGCTGTGAGGGAAGGCTGAGAGAACTGGGATTGCTCAGCCTGGAAAAGGGAAGGCTTTGGGCTGACCTGATTCCCCTGCCTGAAGGGAGATGACAAGAAAGGTGGAGAGAGACTTTTTACAAGAACATGTAGTGACAGGACAAGGCAGAATGGCTTCAAACTGACAGAGAGGAGGTTTAATTTAGACACCACTGTTTACTGTGAGGGCGTTGAGGCCCTGACACAGACCCAGAGTTGTGGATGCCCCATCCCTGGAAATGCTCAAGGCCAGTTTGGATGGGACTTGTGGCAACCTGGTCTAGCGCAACCATGGCAGGGTGTGGAACAAAATGATCTTTAAGGTCCCTTCCAACCCAGGCCATTCTATGATTTCATGATTCCATGATCTGCTGTGACTGCTCTCTTTGTGCACACTGCTGTAGGAATTAGACCTGCTGGTGATGAGTGTACCCAGCTCTGAAAGAAGTTTCTGAAACTTGTGCTCCCCACTTTTGTGGCTGCAATTTAAAAACCCACATTTGTAGTGCACGGTGTGCTGTCAAAGCTGAGATCTGCAGGATCTGAGCAATTTTGTGACAGCTGCAGGATGGCATTTCAGTTTCCACGGAAACTGGCACAAAAATCAAGGTGAAGTGTTGGCTGATTATCTAATAATAAAGCTGAACATTTAAATATGAAGTTCTTCACCTTCCTTTTGCTGAGAAAACTTCTGTTCCTACAGCACCCAGCAAACACTACAGAGGCCTTGTGTCTTCAAATTGTGGTCTCAGCTTGGACTGTGTAATCTCCTTTCCAGAGAGGAAAGACAAAATTCAGCCTTGACCCATTCAGCCACAGAGCCTTATGCTCTGCTTTTAAGATAAAAGGCTGATTTGTCCTCACAATTACTGCACAAACCAACACCATTGTTTATATGACAAATTACAGAGTAACAGAAGTTCTTTTGCTTTGCTGTGTATTTTTCTACTGTGCATTTCCAGAACCTTTCTGTGCTCAAATGCATTTCCTTGTAAAAAGTTCTCATTGCATACATTTTTTATCTGCCCACACTCCTGCTTATCACCTGAATTTAATGGCTCTTTGGCTTTGCACTCACTGGACTCTTGTTTTGAGTCAGTGAGTTTGATCCTTGTGCTGAACATTCCTTTTTCAGGTCATTGATTTCTAAGGTTAACAAAATGAATCCTCCTTCTGATCCTTGCTACGTCCCACTAATCTCATTGCTATATCCTGAACTGCTCAATTACCTTTTGTCTTCAATTTCAGATGCATTTATCAAACCCACAGATCAGTCCTTTGTGCAGGAAGCAGTTTCATATTGGATTCAAGAACATATTCGTGTGAATATTTCTCATACTTATATTTCAATTTGCTAAGGCTGTTTAAATTTTCTTGGTTAATTTGCTTCTTGACATACCCTTTTAAGTGTACTTTCTCCACTGCTTATTTTTTGCCAGAGATGTCTTTCTTTCTAACCTCTATTCTTTTCTTCCCTTGAAGAAGTATCTTCCAGTATTTGATCGTGTTGACTTTCTACTTTGCAGCACTTTATCTTTTTTACCCTCCTGAAAAATTTGTTCATTTGCCATCCTTTCTTTACTCTAGGCAGAGTAAAAGCCAATGTTCTTCTGAAGGACATTTCCTCTGTTTTTCTCAATAGGAAATCGGGGATTTTCTTAGGCCTGTCTTCTGTATCTTTAACTCCATGTCCCACTTTTTTGATGGAGGTTGATGCCTACTTTGCCAGGTTTGGCATGATCAGTGGTATCTTGGCTTGGACATATGGAGGAGAACACAAATGCAAAAACCCAAAGGAGCAAAGTCCATGGCCTAACTCCCCATGACACTCTTTGGATCACCTGGGTATTAATTCCAAGGGGGAGCAAGCATAAGTCTTATTCCTTTCAAATGACCTGTTTCAAACCCAAAGGGTTGCAGTTTCATGTATCTATAACCGAGTCTGCTCTCACAGATATTGTCTTTGCCAGCAGTACAATATGGAGAAGAAAGGGCTTTTTACGCCTCCATTAATGTGCCAATGGGTTGTCTTTGAGTGTGTTACAACAGCCAGGGCCACACGTCTTTCACAAATGTAATAAAAGAAGCCCAAACTAAATTCTGATTGCAGAAACCCCTGGCAGTCTCAGGACTCTCACTCTGAGCTGCACTTTGCATATCAGAAATCTCTTCTTTCCACTGCCCAAGGACCATGCAGCCATTTACAAACTACACTGACATCCCAGAACAAGTCACTGCCTTTGGCAGCGCCTCAGAGGGTGGGATCTCAGCAATGAACAATTCCTCTGAAGCTCTCAGGCACAGTAGCTTCTTTGCTAAAGAGAGGCACATTCTTAGCAGTAACTGAATATGGCTGAAGATAAGAGTTTGATACCAGAGCACTGAGAAAGAATACAAAGAACACCACTCTCAATCAAGCTTGCTTAGAAATACCATTTCTCAGGAAGAAAAGCTGAAAGAAGTTCTGCTTTGGAAGGGACCTTTGGACAAAAACTTGGGTTTATAGGATTTGTTATCTTACATGATCCTATTTTATTTTAAATGTATCAAGTTAATTAAGGGTCATGTCATTTCTTTCACAGAAGAACTGAAGCTCTGGGCTCCTCTGAGGAAGCATAGAAATTGAACATGTGAGATGACTACCCCAGAAACTTCATGGTAAATCCCCTCACATTCAGACAATTATCTTCTCATCATTTGAGATACTATGAAAAACCTTAAGCCCACAATACTCATATGCTTTAAAAAGAGGTGGTGAGGGTGTGTCACATTTAAAAAAGAAATGGACACAAAGGCACTTCTGTTTAAAAGCCTCCAGGGTACTCTGAAATATCAGTGGTAAAGCCTGGCTGAGCAGGAAGCTGATAGTAGATGATAGTCTGCAGCAGGCATGGAGTTTATACAGCCTTGAACATTCATTAAGTATTTCAATTAAATATGTTTTGCTGAACAGCTTTGAGCTACTTGTTGTTGTATTATTTTTTTGGAAGACGACCTTTGATGGCTAATTAGGGAGCAATATGAGGTGTAAAAGAAGCATGAAGAGCCTAAAAAAAAAATCAGCTACTTATACAGCTTAGAGTGGTATTCTATTTTAGAAAGTGGTGGACATGTGGAGGTTTATGCAGGACCAAAATACTGCTAGCAGGTGAGTATGCCACTACCACTGCAGTCTGACAGAAGACCATTAGCTTAAAAAGGAGTCCTTTCAGACAGTAAAAAGGACAACATAATTAGGTAGTCTGGTTCATTGGAAACACCTCCTCTGTTTTCAACATGGACACATCAGTTTCTTGATAGAAGAAATACACATTCAACAGTATTTTGGGTGACTTCCATTTCCAGTAATGTTGTTGTACATAGGAAAGGAGGTATGTTTGTCTTAGGCATTTTCTTCTTTGGAACAGAGAACAGAAGGAACAGAGAAATTACAAGAGGTAGTGAATTTAGCAAACCTGCACATAAAACAATCTTTCATAAGAATAAAATGCTGCATTTACAGCTGTAAATGTACACACCCATATAAGTTAAAAATACAAAGCTACTTTTACTGTGTTTCTTGTTCTTTTTAAGTTCAGAAAATGAAGTACTCAAGTGCTGGACTTAAAGTGGTGAACCTCATTGCATTGGTAAAACCAAACCATTCTTGTAGCACCAGGCTTTTGGCTTAGCCTAAGTGAGAAAGTTAGATAGTGCAACCAAAGTGCAGTTGTGTTCTTCACAGTGTGTACATTTTGACTGGCTTGTAAAGTGAATGTAGAAGTTCATGACTCTCCCAGGCAGCTTCTTTTGATGGTTGAGGAAAACATGATCTGCAACATTGTGGGCCACAGCCTGACTTGGAATGATTAGACCGATGTCCATCAGCCCGTGGAAAGAAGTCAAAGTCAGCTACCTGGGAAAGGAACATCAAAAAGATAACTTTTAGTTCAGTTCCCACTGGCTCAAGTCCAGCAAGAGCACATTGGGCTGCAAATGGCACTTGGTCCTCAACCATTTTCACTGAGTCACTAACTTCAAATAGACTTCTGATTTATACCTGCTGTGCACATGGCTTATAGACAGTGTCTCTAGAGGCATATAATTTATATTGTGGCACAGTGTAAAGGGTATTAGGTACTTCCAAAGTACCATGAAAGCTGCTTTTGATTTAAGAACTTATGCTTATTGCAAACACCTTTTGTAGCAAGTGAAAGTATATTAGAGATGGCAGGGAGCTGGGGAGATGAAGGCCACATACAAGGGGTAGGTAACAATTTAGGGCTGCTTAAGGTAACATTCCCCTCCTTTTTTATTATCCTGTATCCTCTTGTACTGTCTGCTTGTTTTCTTTCATGTTACTATTCTGAGGCAGATCCTCTGGAATGGATACTTCAATGCAAGCATCTGCTTGGGAATATTGAAACACTGCCCATTATTATTCTGGCAATTTAGAGTTCTCTGCAGCAAACCAGAAGCATGGCTGTTTCTTCATTTGCCTACACTGCTGGGATTTTTTTTTTTTTTGTGGAACAGATCACAATTACCAGGGAAATTCTCCCTCCTGCTCTGTTTGTCTGGGGATTAAAGAATCTTTCATATCAGATACCTTTAATGGCTGAGAGCTGCCTAATTACTATCCCAGCTCAAAGTAAGAGTAACTGAATACCTCCACGAGATATTTTTGTTGTGTGTGACTTCGAAAAGTTGTGTACAGCACCAGTACCAGCATCACTGAAACCAGAGCAGTGCAGAGCAGGACAAAAAAAGCTGGGTGGATTCCTAGGAAAAAGCACAAGGACACATTTCTGGAGTGACACAATACCCCAGAAAAAGGCAACGGTGAGAAGGAAACAAAAAAGAAATTGTAGGAGTATTTTTAGAAAAAAGGAATGTATGTAAGAAGGAATGAACTTTTCAGCCCCGATCACTTCAGATTTTCTGAAATCTCAGGAGTGAGAGAGGAGTTTGTAAGGGTTTTTCCCTTTATGCCCTCTTTTGCACTTCTCCATCCAGTTACTGTTAGCCCCTGACTCCCCAGGGTGTTTGTGGCACCCCAGGAGGATGGGAAGGACTCTCACCTCCACAGCAGCCAGGAGCTCCAGCACAGAGGGTTCAGCCCTGCGTGCTCACCAGTGCCTTCTGCAGTGAGCTGCCCTGTCTGTACACAGCTGGCTCACAGTGACAGCGTGTGACCACCCTGTGTCACAGCCTGGCTGTGCCCCATCCTCCTCCCCTGGCCACCCAACCCCTCTCCCAGGTGGTTCAGGGACCCAGGAGGGCCATGTGTGACCAAGCATGGGGAAGCCAGCTGGGCTCACTGGCAGGAGGAACAGAGACTTGTAATGAAATAGAGGCCTAGAAAAATCTACCCTCAAAATTCCATAACTAAACAAAGTAATAAGAATTGAGACTGTTTAATTAAGACAGTGTTACAGATGCATTTTGCTAGTTATCCTCTCTAACTGCAAAAGCTGGACTATTTAAACTGAAAAATATTTCATTTAAGTAATGCAGCCTTCCCAGCGTACTTAGTAGCTTCAAGACACTCTTGGGACTGAGGGTTCAGCAGAACACAAGAAGCTCAGAGCAATTACAGCAGGCACATTATAAATTCTCATTTCCCTTTCTATTCCTCTCCTTTTAGGGATCTACACCACATTCCTGAAACCTCATCTGCAGGCTGGTTATTCCACGCTTGTCTCTAACCTGCCTGGGACTCTCCGTGCTGCTCAGACTCCCTGTCCCTCACCTGCTGGCCGCACTTTGATCCCGTGGTACGTCTGCAGCATTGTCACGCCGCTCTCCACCCTGACACTGAGGCAATACTGCCCCGCGTCCCTGAAAGTGTGGCTGAGGTTGTAGCAGGAGCCACTGATCTCCACCAGATGGCATTTGTCACCTTCAAGTGGAATGCACTCGGATTTTATAAGCCAGCATAACGCCAGTGGTGGGCTGAAACGGTAAGAGCAAAAACGTAAAATAAAGAAAGGTGAAAACTCTGCAAAAAAATCAGCAAAGAGCTTGTTTAAAATAGCAGAATAATTTTGAAACTAATGAAATTAATTTAAATACAGATAAAGAAATAATCAACTGCACTGTTTGGCTTATAGCATATGCCAAATGAAAAAGTTCTTTTGATGCTTCTATAAAGGCAGGTCTTTCAGCTGAGAGGTGAATACCTGCAAGGGTCATCAGTAGGCCACTGTGTGTAGTAAACTCCATAGTCCTTCTTCAATAAAGATCAAAGGAATCCTTTTTCCTGCACTTCCAAGGGAAGGTAGTTTTTTCTTTGTCCTTCTCACACAGAGATCACTGTCTGTACCACTGAAGCACACCCAAGACTGCTTTAATTAAAACACTCTGCACATGAAACTGGAAAGAAGATGAGCTCTGCACAAAGGACTAATAGCTGGAAAATGTAAGTAAATTTCAAGGATCACAGCATTCCCTTACAATAACAAAAGGGTTTTTATTTGCTCTCAAGCAATTTAGTGCACTTCATGGCCATGTGGCTTCTCACCACATCTAATTGAAGCCTTTTATTTACCTTTCCAGATCCCTGTTTCAACTGATTCTGCTTGAAGTCATCTTATGCGCTATTAGCCTTTGGTTCTGACAACAGACAGAGATTTTCTTTACCCTATTTTTTTTACCCTTTACCCTAGTTTTTTGTTTCTTGTCTCATTACAACATTCTTTGCTAAAAAAAGCATCAGGTTTATGTGTTTAGCTAATTTTCTAGCTTTGTTTTTGATAACCCATCTCTTTGTCACTGCATCTCTATCTTAAACTCCTCTTGCATCAGCCCCAGTCCCGTGACTAGAAGGTCACCAAGTCTGCTCTTAGTGATCTCAGGTTTGCCTGTCACAGTTTTTGGCTGTTCACCTTTACTGGGATGCCATCTCTAGTTCCCATTCCCAACATGCCTTTCACTTTCTGATTGCAAACTGTGCTATTTTGTCTGTTGGGACTGTTTGGTAAATTACTCTGTTTGGTGCTGCTCACTCCCAACTCCAATGTGCTCTAATGCTGCAACTTGAGAGAGCTTGTGCAAGGATTGAGGTGCTCACAACCCTCCTATTTTATTATGATCCTTGCTGCATGGGGCTTCTATGTCTCATTCGTCTTGTGGTGATCTGAACTTTGCCAGAATCACTCCCCAAACCTATTAAACCCCTATGATACTCAAGATTTGCTGCTATGCAACAGGACTTGGAATATGTTTCAATTTAATAACAGAGAAATTGGTGAAGGAGAAAAGTCCAGAAAGAAGTTTTCAGATGTATTTTCCCCCCACTATTTCTCTGGCTACTTGTCTTTTAAGATTCCCTTTACAAAGATTTAAAAAAAATAGTATTTGCTTTACATAGGAGGATTCCACTTTTCTGTAAAGATGCAGGGTCTTTCAGGCTTTTAGAGCTTGTGGCATTTCAAGTCAGGAAAATGCAATATTCAACAGTATTTTTGGGAAGAAGGAGGTGGTTTTTGTTTTGTTTTTTAATAATTGTTATGTGGGGTTCAACTGACTATTTTGAGGAAACACCGGGGAAAAACACTTAAAGAGACAATTTTAAGGAAGAAAGAAGTTGTGTTTGCTACTTACGTGCCATTGATATGAAGAGACAAATTCAGGTTTTCCATTACGCGAGTCTCTCTGGAGCCCACTATGTCAATACTTTTAACAGCATCTGAGAAGAAATGAAAAGCCAACATGTCACACTCCCAATGTCAACTTGAGTCTCACTGGTTTCCCACTGCAGATTTATTTCCACAGACTTGCAGATTGGAGCTTCATCAGTCACATAAATAATACTGTTTCTCTCACACCCCTAAAGGAAACCTACCACTAGAGATGTTGTAAGTTTCCTGACTTTTTGCCTGATTCCTTTTTATATGTATAATCAACTTTATTAATTCTTTTCATTTTTAATTCTGTGTTTCTTTACTCCTGAGGCTGATCAAATCAATGAGACTTTCCTAATGCTTGATTTAACTGCTTTATTGTTTAGGGATAGCTGGTGTAAATCGAACAAACAAATCCACCCTAAGTTACCATAAATATTTTGTTGTTTGAATTGTATGTAAGACTTTTACAAAAGACAGTAAAATCAAAACTGAAGATTTTATCTGTTTCCACCAAATTATCTGCCCTAGAAGAGCAAGTTGTCAATTCTGCCGTGGAAACACTTCACCCAATGACGTTGACCAGTCCTTGCACATGAAACAATGTTGAATTTGTGTTACCATGCCAAAGCTAGATTGTATCTGGCATACTAGACTGTATCTGTATTCTACAGCTTGTTCTGCATTGGAGGTGCAGAATGTTTCATAATTACCCAAGAGCTCCAGAGCTGTGGTAAAATCCCCAGTTTTCTGCATCATTTCTCTTTCGTGAATGATGCTCCCAACCTGCTCCCATTCAGCCACAGCCTTCAGGTGCACTGTGCGGTTCCCCGTGGAGGAGCAGTTGCAGTAGACAAAGGGTTCCTTGGTAATCTGGTAAACTCTGTGTGCAACAGGAAAAGATTTAGAATCAACACTGCCTTTTACCAAGTGCTTGAATATTTCTGGTTTAAATATATTTTAAATATATTTTCTTTACAGACAACATTACAGTGGCTGTGATTCTAATTCTACTTTATGTGCGTATAAACAAGGATTTACATCTGTGGTATTACCTATGGAACTACAAGATCCAGAGTAAATCTCTGCATTTTTAATTAAAGAAATTAAAGATAATGCTAAAAGAATTCACAAAATTGAATAGGAATAGTCAGTAAATTATGAAAACAACATTTACAGCAGACAGACTATCAGCTAACTGATTTTATTGGGATTTTTCTCTAGATGAACCACTGAATCAGAGCCATTTTGAATACTCACTAAAGCAAACAAAGTAACCACACCTACCCATCTCCAAAATCCCAGTTGTAGACAAATGATGCTGACTTGAAGTAATGACTTGGGTCATGAAGAGAGAAAGAAATCCGGGTCACTGTGTCCGTGGAGGGGCTAGAACCATGTGTGGTAACTCTGCTGTCTTCTATCTGGGCTATGGTAAGGTTCCCTGTGATAAATTCTGCAGAACAAAAAGGAGAAAGAAGAATGACAACATATATGACAGAAGAATGACGGCATGTATGACAGCATATATGACAGAAGAATGACAGCATCCTTCCACAGCATGCTCTGTGTGTCAAAACATTCTTTCAGATGTACTGGGTAAGTCTTGCTGTGTTCCAGTCCAAGTGGTTAAATGTATTTTATATCTATTACTCAGTGTTGTCATGCGTGTGAATGAGGCAGTGAAATGAAAATATTGAGGGTTATACAATGGGTTATGATAAAACATCCAGTAGAACTTAGAGAAATAATCCTAGACTGATTGAGCTCAATATAAACTTTTACTATTTATTTTTAAAAACTGCTATTAATAGCAAGCATCTAGATTCAGAGTCAGGCCAGTACACATACTCATCATGTCTGGGATGGTGGTGTTTGTTTGTTTGTGGGGTTTTTAAATGTAGCTTCTTTTCCTCCTTAGTTTCAGCTATTTTTACAGAAATTAAGAATTGACTATTGTGAATAACAGATGTGCTATATGTTGTGAATACAGGAAGGGGGCAATGTTTTTATCTATGAGAGGTTCTTTGTTGGACAACGACTGGTAAGGACAGATCTAAAAAAATCCTCTCTAGCCTACGAAACAATGAGATATGATGAGACACCAGCTCATTATAAAATTAATGGGCTATTGATTATCAGTAACAGACTCTTATCCTTTTAATAATTCATTAAATCTGGTTAACAGGCTTTTTGGTGATGCACAAAGAATAATTGCAATTACTGTTGGAATGGGGCTGTCAATCCATGTATCAGAGATTTAGTTAACCATAGCACACCAGTAGTTAATTTGTAAATAAAAAATCATATTTATAGTTATATTATTTATAGCATATTATAGTTACTATGACTTTATAGTTATGAATATTCCCAAAAAACTGAAGTTGCACTTAGCAACATTTAGAAATGCAGCCATCATTTCAGATCCAATTTCAATACACTTAGACAGAGCTTTAAAAGAAAATGTAATGCTCTGCTGTGCTGATGGCCTAAGATTTGCTGTGTCATGCAACAGGGAAAAGCAGCAGATTGGCACTGCTGATGGTCATCCTAACTTTAGGCCTAGAAATGCTGGAAGGCAGTAGAAGAAGCATTGTTCTAGGAGTTTGGACATTCACTGAGCCATGCTGATGTGTGAACTGCTGCTGCTGAAGCATCTGATTTCCAGTTCAGTTTCTCTAAGTGACAGAGGTAGGAAAACATGGGCAGCACCACACTTTCCTGTTGCTATAGGACACGAAAGAACACAAGCTCATACTGCTGTTCTCAAGGTGAAGAAAAAAAGAAGTTTATTTTTTAACTCTAACATTTATAGTTTTCCAAGAGTGACAGTAGATTTCAGGGTGACAGTGCCACCTCTCCAATGACATTAAACAGACTAACAGTCCATCAACTTTCTCTTGCTCCATAAAAAAATGCAAAACAATGAATTATTTACAAAAAGTGTGTGAGAAAGTTTGCTACAAGAATGTCAACATCAGAAAGCTTAAAAAAATCTTAAAAAGCCAGGGTGACACTTTCCTCCTGGGTGTAGAGAGACTAGAGCATGGCTGTAATGGTACTGATTGCACCATGCCCCCCAACCCACCTTCAGCTCAGGGCTACAAGTCAAATCTGCTTTCAGAACACATATTTACACTGGATTTCTCCCTGATGCTGCAAGGGCATAAATCCTGAGCTCCTGGAGAGGAACAGGTTACAAAACCATTTACCCATTTTACCTGTAATCTGGAGCACGGTGACATTTCTTGCAATCGGCCGACACAACCAACAGTGTTTGTGAGTCACCCAGACAGACACAGGGAAAGTGCCAGGGAATTCACCAGTCACGTTAATTATGGAATTAAACTGCTGCTCGGATTTCTCTATCAGAATCAGAGGAGCATAGACCCAGTTAAAGTGATACCAGTTGGATGTGACATTTTCGTTCTTCATTCTTAGCCTGGCCTGAACAGTAGCTTGAGCTCCTGTTGTGATGGGGCCATTGTTGGTTATTTCCAGGCTATACAACTCTGTGGAAAGGAGAAGAAAATGAGTAAACCAAACCTTCTTGTATGGCATTTTAAATTTCATTTATTTATTTATACATTTGAACAAGTCAGCTCTAGTTATATAACTCAAAATGACACCTATCCCAGCAAAGAATTTACCACCAAAATTTTTTACTGTTTAAATATCTGGAACAGAAACTGTTGCATATGTATATGACTTCAAATAAATAGCAGTAAAAAATATGTCGGACTGGGTTCTAGAAATGTTCATAGCAGTAGACAGCTTCAGTCTAGGTTATCACAAAAGCTTTGATGAGGTTTTACATCCAGAGCTGGGTGCTGGCTATAGGTTCATTGTCACTAATGATCTAACATGATCACTGGACTTCAGCTACTGGAAGAGGCTCAGCTCTAATCTCTGCCTAAAGATGTCGACTATTAAACTCAGGTGAGATTTCATTCACTAGATTCCTTTGCCAGCTCTGTTGAAAAGTTTATCTAACTTTCCTCATAAGTAAATGTAAAAAACTCAGTAAAAAGCATTTTCTGTGCTATGATCCACCTTAAATTTCCTTTTCCAGGGAAGGACCAGAAGTCCTAAGGCAAATAAAAGATGTACCATGCTGTAGTGGCAGATCAGTTGCTGTCCAGAGAGACCTGGAAAAGCTGAAAAAGTGCGTCCATGGGAACCTCATGGGGCTGAACCAGGCTGAGTGCAAGGTGCTGCCTCTGGATTGGGGTAACCCCTGGTGTTCAGTACAGGCTGGGGGATGAAGGGATAGAGAAGGACTTGGGGGTACTGGTGGATGAAAATGTGGACTTGAGCCAACAATGTGCACCCAAGATATGAGGCTGCATAAAAATCAGCCAGCAGGTTGAGGGAGGGGATGTTTCACAATGAGGGTGGTGAAACACTGGCACGGGTTGTCCACTATAAACATTCAAGGTCAGATGGGACTGGGCTCTGAGCTACCTGATCTAGCTGAAGATGTCTGCTCATAGCAGGGGATTAAACTTGATGACCTTTAAAGGTCTCTTCCAACCCAAACTGTGCTATGATTCTATGAGACACCAAGGCATGAGAGGTGCAGGACCTGTGATAGTGAGCCAGCTCTGCTGCTCTGAATGACTCACCATTATCTTCTCTGCCATGTTTGCTCAAATTACTTACTTCAGATCTTGCAACTACTGCAATAGACAGCGTTGAGTTTTGTGGAAATAATACATTAGATTTTTTCCCCAAAAAATAGCAGTGCAGAAGCATTAAAGAAATGTGCATGTGTTAAACAACAAAATCAACCCCCAAGCCCCAAAACAAAAGGAAATGCAAAATAGCTGTGAATTGGGACAGAGCTGGGAGCAGGGTCGGGATGCTTGCCTCCAACATGGAGCATGTTCCCTTCCCTTCCCTGTATCAGAGCTCTGCCTGGCTCTCTCTCATCAGCAGTGCTGGGCAGAGCAGCAGAGCTGGGGGGCTCTAAGGCAGGTGCCTTTCCTTATCCCCTCTTTCAGCAGCCACCAGACTGCTACCAGGGATCTGAATCTCTGACCTTTAGAAAGTGCATTTCTCACTCATCCATAGCCCCTAACTTGCGGGGAGCACTGGGGCTAGCTAAATCCTGTGCTGGCTTTTCTGCACCCATCAGCTTGGGATGAAATGAAAGAGATGGCATTTGTGCCTGCATTTTATTTTACAGATCACAGGTGCTGAACAATTCTGGAGGCAGAAGAACTGTGAGAAATGAACTGTAACACTACTGCCTGAGAAAGAACTCCACTGTTCCCATTTCACAGCACAAGAAATGGCCCTGAGTTCAGTTTTCTGAGTTAAAAGAGAAATGCTTGTGATTTGATGAAATCTGTCAGAGGGAGGTTTCATGTCTCTAGAAGATTCAGGCTATGTTCCACTTAGTTTCAGCAGAATTCAGGGAAAAAATAGCCGACTACCTCGTGCTTATCTAGCACTTCTCCTTGGAGGTTATCTCGGTGCTTTACAAATCAGGGCCACATCAGCCCAACAGCTGCAGCGGCTGGAGGTTCAGTGGCTAACCCAAGGTCACCCAGGGAGTGACCGGCACAGCAAAACACTCCATCCAGTTCGGGGATTTCTCCAGCAGAATGGAGCTCTGTGAGTGCCGCAGCGAGGGATAGCAGCTGCCCAGGTGCACTGTGACCTGCGGTGTAGGGTCGGTCAGCGGGGGAAGCAGAAGTGCAGCTTTTGGGTCAGAAGTGCAAAGCAGAACCCCAGCCTCCCGGGATGCCCCGCCTCCACTGCAGGCACCAAGAATAAAGTCTGGGGTGGTGGGAGCGTGCCCAAAGTCGCTTCCATCCCTTGTCACATATATCAGGCTCCGGCAGGGAAGCACCTCCACCCGTGATGCAGCTCAATACTGAGGTCTGAGCCCTCGCCCCCAGCACCCCGCGCCCTCCCCCCGGCGGCGATGCCAGCGCAGACCGGCGCTCCCTTACCTGCGGCCGGGGAGCGGCTGTGGCCGAGCTGCAGCCGCAGCAGCTGCAGCAGCAGCGCGCAGAGCAGCCACCGCATGCTGGGGGCCGCGGGGACGGGACTGGGCCGGCTGGAGAAGCGGGAGCCGCTCTGGGCGCTGCGGCTCCGTGTCCGCGCCCCCGGTGCGCTCCCCCGCGGCAGCGCCCGGCCCGCCTCTCCCGGGGGCAGCTACCAAGGGATCGCCAGCGCCGCCGGGATGCAGAGCCGCCGGCGGTTTAAACAAATAGTCAATAAAAACCACAAATGCCTCCCATCTGCCGGGAGAGTGGGGACATCCCGGAGCGTTCGGGAAGGGGTTTGTGCCGCGCTTTGGTTGCGGCAAGCACATATAAATGAAGTATTCCGGCGGTGGCGCGGGGATGGCTCTGCCGGGGGCGCTTCGGCTGCTGTTACCGGTCCCGCAGCGCTCCGAACGGCCTGTAACGGGTACGCTGCTGGAGAGAGGCGACAGCAAAAGCGCCGGAATGTGGTTTTCCGGTGTTGTTTTTTTGTCGTTTTATTTTGTTTTTTCCTGTTTTGTTTTGTACCTTTTGGTTTTAATTCGTTCACTTGCATGCTTTTTATTTTCTTAAACTCAACATTCGAAGCCCTTTCTCGCTCCGGGCCGCCGTTCTGTTTCTTGAGGCGGATCAGTTTCTCTGCGCGCTTCGCTTCCTGTGCTGCCGCGCTCCCCTTGGGCACCGGCGGGGCGGAGTGGGCCGTGCCCTGGCCGGAGGCACCGGCCGCCTCTGCCCCGGTACCCCCTGGCCCGCCGTTAGCGGCGGTCAGCGGAGCCGCCGGGGCCGCGGGGACGGGCGGGGCTGGCCTCAGGCGCGGCCCCGGCAGCGCCCAGCCGGGGCGGGTCAAGGCGGGGCCGTGCGAGGCTCGCGGGGCCGGCGAAGGGAGCGGGCGGTGCCGTGCCCGCCTCCGCCCGGGGAGAGGCGCGGGAGGCGGCACCGGGAGGAGGCGGCCGGAACTGAGCTCGGGCGCTTCCGTCGCGCCCATGCGCTGCCGGCGGCCTCCGGGAGCAACAAAGGAGGGAGCCGGGGGGCCGCGGCCGGGCGGCCCCGGGGAGCCGCGGGGTGAGGAGCGGAGCAGCGGCGCCCCGGTGGGGCCCGGGCCTGGGCGCGGTGGAGCGGGGCGGGGGAGGCGGGAGCGGCGCGCTGCGGGCAGGAGGGGCCCCGCCGGAGGCCTGGGGCCGAGCGCGGCACCGGGAGGGCTGAGGGACGGGGGAGACGCCGCTGCGGCCGCTCACGGTGCCCCTGTTCGCAGGGCGGAGATGGGCTCGGCGTGACGGCGCCCTGGCAGCGGGGAGCGACCCGGGCGAGCAGCGCTGCGGCGGGGAAGGTGAGGGCGCGGGGTCCCGGGCTGGCTCGGCCGGAGCGAAACTGACGGGGATCCCCCAGGGGAGGAGGGAGATCGCCGGTCTCTGAAGCCAGATGTGATTTTAGGCTTCTTTAGGAGCGACACTGTTAGCCTGTGGCGGCAGGACAGCTGCAGGCGCCCCTGGCAGCGAGTCCCGCAGGGTGTGCCCGAGGGGAGCTGCAGGTTTGGGGCAGAGGGCAGGTGGTGACAGGTGAGCGGTGTCAGGAGCATCCCTGAGCCTGGAGCCTGCTGATGGGATAGGAAACCGCGCAGAATATGGGAATGGTGGTGCTGTGAAGAGCTCAATAATCCCTTTTATCTGTTAGTGCACTCCTGTCACAATGAGTGCTGTGCATGCTTGGTGTTGTATTTGTAAGTTAAATGTTACAGTTGTGGTTTTTGGAAAAGGTGGTCCTCTTCAATATGTTAGAAGAATGGATATAGGTGATGGGATAGCTGCTGTTTACAAGCTGTGTAAACTAACAAATACTTCTGTATTCTTTTGTAGGTGTGTTGATCTTGATTTTATGTACTGAAAGCTGATCTTTACTCCTCCAAGATGGCATTTGTTTCAGCACAAGGGCCTACGGTGGTGGACCAAACCACTTTGATGAAAAAATACCTTCAGTTTGTGGCTGCTCTTACAGATGTCAATACACGTAAGAGACATTTTTCTTCTTGTAAATTGCAGCTTTTCATTAGTTAGTTTCACAAGTGTTGCAGACTTGTTTGGACAATTGATGAAAGAGTGAAATCTGTCAAATTGACTTTGAAATTTCATTGAGTTTTGATTTTTGAAGAAGCAAAATGATGAGAAACACTTATGTGAGCCAAAATGAGTGAGATGTGTGTGTGTTGTGTGCAGTTGTGTGGTGGTTGTTTGAGAGAGCTGTGTGTATTATAATTAGGCAGTGATGGCAAAACTGATAAGATCTGATTGCTTCTTTGATCAATGAGTTTGTTGTTTTCCTTCATGACCTAGTTTTACACTCACATTTTTCTGCTTGAATTTCCATTTGCAGCTGATGAAACCAAATTGAAAATGATGCAAGAAGTCAGTGAGAATTTTGAGGTAAATAAAAAGATAACCCCAAGCAATAAAATTCCCCTAACTTTCTGCAATGGCAGCCTTTCTTGTGCTTAATGTATATTAATTGGATTTCTGATGTAATGCAGGTAAAATATTAATAGTAGTGTCCTGAGATTAATGATTTATATGGTTACAAGTCATTGATTCTAGGTTTGTATTTAGGAATTAACCAGGTTGTTGAAGAATTACATTTGGACTTAGTGAGCTTCATTGCTAAATCTTTATTCATTAAGCATTTAAATAAAAGTGAAGTAAGAAATTTTTCTTCTATTTTTTGAATGCTATGAAATGCCTGTATTTAAAGCTTTCTTTTATTTAGTTCAAATGAGTATTATGCTCTTGTGAAACAGAGGCTCTTCTGATTACTCCGAGTATTCCATGGTGTGGAAGTGAGAGAGGAGTTGTTAGATGCAGAATCTGACATCAGGAGTGGAGATGTCTCCAGTGCCATCTTTTGCATGGTGATGGACCATCTTTTTAGATGAGCAGCAGAGAAAATGTGAAACACAACTTAACCCAGCCTTGTGTTAGCAGAAATTTTACTTTAGTTCAATACTTAGTTGTTACGTGCCTGTTCTGAAGTTATAGCAAACTAAAATCATTCTTGTGGAGTTTTTTATCTGCTTAAGCTATTTCTGAAACAATTTATCTGACTAAAATAATAGTTTTGACTGCTTAGTCTGGTGACCTGTTAGAATCTGAAGATTTAGTTGATTCTCTTTGCTCTTCCCTTCAGTAGGGAAAGAATTGTATTTGTTTTGCTAATGTTCTCTTGGAACTCACGTGGTTCTTCAGTGTCAGCAGATACTTAGTCACTGAATCTATTCAAGATTCACTGAAAATGTTTAATAGTGGCTTTGAATGTAACTGAATGTAATCTGTGTGATGCCTATAACTCCCCATTTTTTGTTCCTAATTAGAATGTGACATCATCCCCTCAATATTCTACCTTCCTGGAACACATCATCCCTCGGTTTCTCACCTTTCTACAGGATGGGGAAGTTCAGTTTCTGCAGGAGAAGCCAGCACAGGTAAACTGTGTGGAGCATTTCCTGCCTTTTTGCTGTCCTTGACTAATCTAACTAAATGATTTAAGACTTGCTAAAATTAGAGCTGTCATTTGGAGTGGAACTGAAAAAGTCCTGTTTCTAAATGAGTTACTTATAAACTTTGCTAATCTGTGCTGCTGTGGAAAAGGAGGAAAAGTAGGTGCAACAGAATTGGCTTTCTTACTAAAATATTGCACATTGTTGCAAGTTACTGACTTTACTGAAGGTTAGGAATGAAAGGCAAAAGTTGAATCTTTGTCATTAAATTCTTAAAATTGCATTCCTTAAAAAAAGTCTGATTTTCCAAGTGTAAATTAGTTAAATTTGCTTCATTCACATAGGTGGGTAGTAGGAAGAGTGATGTCTTTGTTCAAGCCTATGTCTACATGAAATAAAATAGCTTTTTTTCTATTTCAACATGCAGAATTATTAAGCTGAAAAAGATGCTGTAACTAATTGTTGGGTTTTTTGGGCTTTTCAAAAATTTCCGTCATATCATTATTTTTCCTTTTTTTTTCTCTCTTTTTCTACAGCAACTCCGGAAGCTTGTGCTTGAAATAATTCACAGAATACCAACAAATGAACATCTTCGTCTTCATACCAAAAATATCCTGTCTGTGATGTTCAGATTTCTGGAGGTACTTTTTTGAAATATTTTCCTCTGTTTTCTTCATCTCCAGAGTTTGCTGGGGTAGGATTTTCAATAGCTGTGCTGCCGGAGCAGGAATGGAAAGACATTCTATATAAACTTCACCTGTGCCCTCTCTTACCACTTACAGGTTTTCTGCCCGTTCTCTTCTGCCCTCTAGAAACTTGGATTTTACAAATGCAGGGAGCTGTTCTTATGCTGGGTGGGATTTTCTGGCAGATAGCTGATTCTTGGGGGTTTGTTTTCTGTCTTGGAATTCACAGCACTCTCATTTGAAGCTCACATGGGGGTCTCTGTTTGAGGGCAATGAGAGTAGATCTGATGGTACAGAGTGGTTGAAATGTCTGAGTTTTACTCCCCCAGGGGTAGATTTACTTTCAGCCAAACTCTGGGGCTGCAGGGTATCTAAGAAAAGGCATCTTGCTCACACAAACCCATATTAATGGGGCACTTTAGACTGTTGAGAAGAGTATAATTTTCCAGGGTTTTGAAGTACCCACTGAGTACTTGGAGAATTCAGCAGTGAGCTCACTAAAAAGTTTCTTTTTTGTTTTCCAGACTGAGAATGAGGAAAATGTACTGATTTGCTTAAGAATAATTATTGAGTTGCACAAACAGTTCCGACCAGCAATCACTCAAGAAGTAAGTAATAACTCTTGTTACATGGTATAAAACTTGCTGCCATGCTCTTCAGAATTGCTATTTTGTTCACCTGGCTTGATTGGTTTGTTTTGCTGTTGTCCTTTTATGTTGTCTGACCTATTGTGGTAACCATATGTTTAATTTTTTCCCCTTTTTTAAATCTTAAACTGATTTTTAAAAGAGGATTCTAGCATAATGCTAGCACTTGGGGAAAAAACCACACTGTTAAAGCTTAGCTGTACTTGGTTTAAATGTTTATGGACAATATGAACAGTCTAAGGAATAAAATTCCCACACAAAGGAAGAGAATTGATGCCCTTTTAGTTTGTAAAGGAAAATCCTGAAAAAGAAATT